CAGGGGGCTGGACTAGATGACCCACAGAGGTCCCTTCCAACCCCAAACATTCCGTGATTCTGTGATTCTGTGGATTGTGTGATGTCACATCCCGGTTGCCCCAGCAGAGAGACGTGTGAGAACATGGAATGGGGAAGGCGTCCTGAGGTGTCTGCGGAAGTGTCACTGCCCTGAATGTTTTCAAGGAGTGCCTGTCCAATGCTGGGATCGAAATGCTGCTCCTTACCCTCTTCTGTTTAACTTTTCTGATCAACAGCATCAATGCGGATTTTTTTTCTGAACTTTTTAAGTTCAGAAATGATCAGCAGAGCAGCAATGCTGTAGAATACACACATATCGGTAAATGAAATAAGCCTGGGCTTATTCCTTGTACTTGATGGCATACACGTATGGCTTGTATGACAGCCTGACGCTGAACTCTTCCACCCGTACTCCCTAGACAAGGATTTTATCCAAGCTGCCTGCGGGAAACACTCTGCAGCCCTGTTAGCTCCAAAGTGCCTGGGCATTGCTTGGCAGAGTGCAGGTTTGGGGAGACTACAGCGATGCCAGGGGCTTTGGTAGGGACCAAGCAGCGTGGATAACTACAGTCCAGTGCTTTAGCTGATGTCCTGCCCCTTTATAGTCCAGTAGCATAGTCAGCAGCACCGCTATACGTGAGCAACGTGTCTCGTTTTGTACCCAGAGTGTGGCCTCCGACCATCTTACGAGTCCTTTCTGCAGACCGGCAAGAGGATCACAGCGGGGAGATACGCCAAGGCCGGGGAGTTCCCGTGGCATGTGAGCATCCAGACCAACGGGAAACACATCTGTGGGGGCACCATGATCAGCGCGTTTTGGATTTTAACTGCGGCCCATTGCTTTGCAGAAAAGGTGTGAGTATTCGGGGGGAGGGAGGACAGCCAAGGATTCGTAACATCGCTCCTTGTGGCAGTAGAATAGGTATGTTCTTGGGGTCAAGTGCAACACAAACATCACTGAGCCAGAAGGAGAGCCCTGAAAACAGTTGTTGTCTCCTTTGGGGAAAGCAGGCCCATTTTTGGTCAGAGAGAGTGTTTCAACAAAAACGTGCAGAGATCTGTGTAACCAGGAGGTGGAGAAGGGAAGATATTTTGAAGGATGGTCTGAGCAGACTTGTATAAATGCCCATGATGCTGTTCTAATGCCCCCAAACATTTTCTATGTGTCTACATATGTTGCAGTACCTCGTAAAGAGATGTATTCTATTCCAATTTATTCTAACCCCCAAATTACCTTTGCTTTCATATAGCAAACACCTTTACCTCGTGAAGAGTCTGATTTTAAAACAGCAGTTTCTAGATAAATCAACTGCATGCAATGCCCAGGGCAGAGTCCAGCCCTCTGTGAGCCGCCTGCAACATTCAGCTGGTCCAAGAGCCGAGACTGCTCGGTGACAAATGACCTGTGGCATCACGACCTGGAGCATCTGGCTGGGGGCAACCAGCCCAGGGCGCAGCGATCCCGAAGATCCAGCCCACTCCATCTGTTTGTTAGCGGCTGGGCTATTTATAACTTGGTTGCATTTGTGTTCTACCTCTGCACCTCTCTCCCCTGACAATTTGCTTTGCCTAGGAGCGACGGTAGATTTCTGTGATATTTATAGCCAATCTCCTCTGCAGTTTGCTGAGCACCACCCTACCCTGCTCAGGGGGAGGAGGCACCAACATTTACAGCACAAAGTCTTCACGTTTGCTTGTGTCTACACTGCTTCTGTTTTATTTTTTAGGCCACCAGATCTCACTGTTGTAGTGGGGGGAACTGACCTCAGCCTCCCACTGGAAGAGCACAAGCCAGACAGCTTGATCCTCCACCAAGGCTTTGACAGAATGAGCATGCAAAATGATATCGCTCTGATCCTGCTCAGCTCTCCCATCGAGTTCAGCAATGAGAAAATCCCTATCTGCTTGCCCTTCATGTATGACATCAACATCTGGCAGCACTGCTGGGTTGCTGGGTGGGGAACCAGAAGTGCAGGTGAGATGCTGTCGGGAGGTGGATTTGCTCATGGAGGCTGGTTTTTATCCATTTAAAGTAGGTGTTCTCTCCCAGGAGGGGTTACTACCTGCCTGGTAAACACCTCCACATCCTCTCAGCCTCTGCATATCCACCAGTTCTCTGTTCAGTGCAAGAACCAGTCATCTACTGACCCCAGAGCAAAGTCCCTGGTACTCTGAGCATGTATCTTCAAGCTGAAACCTTAGAGCCACCTTTTCTCTGCAGGAACTCAGCATCTTGCTTGCCTTTTTTGGAACACAAAGTAAGACAAGCTCCACCCTGGTGGACAAGTTAGGCTGGGTATAAAGTGGCCTGGAATAAGGGAAATGAAGGTCTAGGGTTGTCTTTGGCTTAATGTCTTCATGAACTAGACTGATTCCTTGGCACTGGTCACCCCTCTTCTTCACTCATTTAGAACAGCAGATTGCTATTGCTAATTGCTCTCGTTTAAGCCCTGATGAAAGTAGCTACAGCACTGATCGTGACCCAGAATGTTTAGCCTGAACAAATGCCACTAAATGGCTAATGAGCGATTTCATTACTGGAAAGAGGTAATTGGGATGGAGTGGGCAGGGTGGTGCCTTGGGGCTTGAGCACTCCTTTCCAGGGTGTAGTAAGGGAAGGTCCCATTTAATCCTTGCTACTCTGCTCCGTAGGATTACTGTCTCCTCTCTGAACCTCCACATTTTCCTTCTGAGGCTTCATTTGCCTCACATAACAGTAATATGCAACACAACACTGTGCTATAGTTGTGAAACTCTCCCATTTCACCAAGGTAACGTGCTCTTAGAAACAGAAAACAGGGGCCTGCTGCAGAGTCGCTCTGCAGCTTGGCAGGATTTCTATTTAGCTGGTCTCTCTGCAAAATGCACGGCGTGGCTCTGGGAATCGGTCTCCGGCTGCTGTGTGGTCTCAGTTGACATCGCTTCTCCTCTCCAAATTTCACCCTGTGGGAGGTCAATGCGCTCAGCCCTGGCACACACCCCTTCTGTCTGGGAGAGGCTGCAAGAGAAAATCAACAGAAGTTTGAGTTTGGTGAGAAATGTGCTATGGTATGGTACGGGCCATACCAAAAAGTATGAGGCATTGTTCCTCAGTGGGGGAAATGGGTCATTTCTTGTCTCTACTGGCCTTTTTTTAGGTGGACATCTCTCAGTTGGCACCTCGGTGACACTAGCCTAACTCCAACTGAAGTCAATTAGACATCTACAAGTGGAGCCACCTCCTTGGAGATGCCTGCATCAAAGAATTTTAATCTGTGTGCACTTCCATGAAGCAGCCCCATCTTAGCTGCAAAAGGGACCTGACAATTTTCGATCTTTGAGATTTTACCTTTGAGTCCACCTTCCTGAAGGTGCTGGGCCAATTTAGCTCCGTGAAATATGGGAGTAGGAGTGATTCTCTGGATATCTGTAGGTCTGTGCCGAGCAGCAACATCACTGAAGGGGCCTACAAGAGAGCTGGAGAGGGGCTTTTCACGAGGGCATGTAGAGTTATTGACAAGGGGTGATGGCTTTAAACTGAGAGTGAGGAGATTTAGATTAGATATAAGGAAGAAATTCTTCACCATGAGGGTGGTGAAACACTGGCCCAGGCTGCCCAGAGAAGCTGTGGCTGCCCCCTCCCTGGCAGTGTTCAAGGCCAGGTTGAACGGAGCTCTGAGCAACCTGGTCTGGTGGAAGATGTCCCTGCTGATGGCAGGGGGGCTGGAACCAGATGATCTTTAAGGTCCCTTTCAACCCAAACCATTCTATGACTCTACGATCCCTCCAAAGTCAGTTTTATCCTGCACAATCAGATTCACTTTGAAGAGAAATGTGGCTGAAATTGTGGGTTCTCCAAGTAGCTCTGCAAATTCCCAATCTTTTTGTCTCTTGCTGGTGCCCACTGCGATTTCCCAAGGGAAGAATAAAGCAGTTAAGCAGTTACTTCCATTCTGTACTGCCATCCTGAGAGCTACTTTGTGAAAGATACAGCTGGTCCCCTGGATGAGGTACAGCCTCACAGCCCCCCAGGAGAGCATGGGCATAACAAGATCATCTGTTCTGGGGAAAGCCCAGTGGACTTTGCTCCACGGGACTTGCACAAGACCTCGTGAAGAGTCCCTCAAACTGAGTTCCCCAGAAACAGGAGTGAGAAACCCAAGGTGTGCAGTGCAGCTAATCTCAAGTCATCTCTAAGACCAGCAGGACAAGCAATCCCTTTGGGGCTCTTCCACCTGTACCACACCCCAGATTTCATCTACAAAAATAAGTGTTTTTTTTAAATCCTATTTATCAAGCCTCCACTCCCCAGGATTTCAACTTTGCTCATTAATACCTCCCCCCTTTCTACCTACCCACCCACCTCCTAGTCTGGCACAAAGTCAAAACCACAAACTGATCTTTGCTAACACTTGGACAGCCCCTGTAAGCCCCCATGACCCCAAGACCATACAGTGGTGCCTAGACCCTCTTGCCCCGAGAGGCTTTACAAATTCAGCCAGACGCAGTCCCAAGGGCTAGTCTCCAGCTGTGGTTTCACCCTTACAAGTCTGTACTGCTCTTCAAGTTTTGTTAATCGTTCTTTTCTCACTTGCTGGTTAACAGTTGCGGTGCCAGCATCCCACGTGCTGCAGAAAGCTCGGATGAAGCTCATCAGCAAGGAGCAGTGCTTGGAGCGGTTCCCGCAGCTGATGGAGAACGCGCTGTGTGCTAAGCTGGACAAAGGAGAAAGAGGTGCTTGCCAGGTAAAGCAAACAGGCTCCCGGAGGGCCACGCTGCCCATAGGGGCACAGAGACATTGGAGGAGAAGTGCCTTCACTTCAGGAATGAACATTGATCCTTCCCATGGCTTCCTGAGGTTGCTAAAGCTTCTCTGCAGGAGGCCAGGGCAGGATGCCCAGGGGCCAAGGAACTGCCTGCAAAGGCATATTGACCCGGGCAGTTGGGGTGCAGGACTCTTGGGGTTGGAAAGCAGTGGTGGTGCTGGAAACGAAATGCCTTGTCGAGCAGATGGGCTTCTCCTCACACTCTCCCCCCTGCCCTGATTGCCCCCCTGCAGCGAGACAGGCAGGAGCTCTGTAAGGGAAACAACGAGCTGAAAGGAGGGCCAGGGAAAAGCGTGGTTCCCAGCAAGTCCCCTTGGATGAGAGACAGATTTCAATGGCTCTGGGCACATGGTTTTGGACTGTTATCTCACAGCAATTTAAAAACCCAGCATCTGCTGTGGCCAAGCTGTACAGCGGTGGGAGACATGGAAGGAGAGGTCTCCTGTCCCTGCAGAGAGGGCTCAGAGCATCACGTGCTGTGTTGTCCTCCTGCCTGGTGTCCCTTCAGCCCTGGGCTGGGCAGTGCTACTCTATCAGCAGGTTAAATACTGCAAGGAGATGGTGAAGTGTTTTCCAGGAGGGCGAAAGCAAAAGAACTGGGTGGGAAATTAAGCTGGAGAGGGAATTTTTACACGGGCATGTGATGATAGGAAAAGGGGTATGGCTTCAAGCTTGAAAGAGGGTAGATCTACATTAGATATAAGGAAGACATTCTTTACTCTGAGGGTGGTGAGGCCCTGGAAGAGCTGTGGCTGCCCCTTCCCTGGAAGTGTTCAAGGCCAGGTCGAATGGGGCTTTGAGCACGCTGGTCTGATTGAAGGTGTCCCTGCTCATGGCAGGTGAGTTGGAACGAGATGGTGCATAAGGTCCCTTCCAACCCAAACCATACTAAGATTTATGAATGGAGTCCAGGAGTTTTTAATTTGAATATTATAAACCTTTCTCAGGCGAGGTCTTGGCTCTGACAGAAATGACCTTTGATGACATGGTGGGTTTGTCTGTGGATGTCAGAATTAGTTGCATCTTATTACAATGAGTTAGTGATACAGGATGATGACTTCTGAAGATAAATAGTAGAGGTCAAGCAGTATGTGATATCAGGGACTGCTAAGGGGAGAGAGCTGACACAGACACCCAAATGTGGTAAAACCTCAGAGCTTGTGCCCTCAGATCATGCTCTACCTGCAGGATTGCTTTCATGATGTCAAAGCCTGAAAACCAAAAAAACACCTTTTCTTCCGTAGAAAACCTCCAGAACCTTTCATAGCAAACCTCCTTTCACACCAACTTCCAACCCCTCCTCTGAGAGTCTGGTAAGGACTGGGCTCTCCTGCAGCCTCTGCTTCAGGACTGAGGTCTCCATCCTCCACTGGGCAAGAATTATTCACTGAGGGAAGTAAAACAACACCCAGGACAAAGAGAAATCCCCTGCCCTTTAGGGGAAGGCAGTGGGGACAGGGACAGTGCGCTGCAAAGCGCCAGCTGGACCTGTACCTGGGGAAAGTTTGCTTTGCAAAATCATTTTTTCAGTTAGCCAGAGAGCATCTGTCTCTGAAACCGTTCATCTAGTGACTTACACCTCCATTAAACTCAATCAAAAATTTTAAAAAGAAAACTGCCACGGGATAATATTAACATGATTAAAGGATGCACTTCCCAGCCCAGCCTTAAGTTCTGTGGCTGAATTATGCTGGTGAAACAGCAAGAACACTTCTACCCAGCAAAATGAATCTCCTGTATTCAGAAAGCTGATGAGGGTGCTATTTTGATCTACAATAATGTTAGAGTCATCTGAGAAATGAACTAGAAATGTGAGCTTTCCAAGCAGTGGGGGTACACAACAATAGCGTGTGTGATAATGTTCATAACCCAGCAACTGCACACTTGTAGTGGAAGCTTGACCGGGCAGAAATGTCTTGCCAACTGACATAAAGAGAGCAAGACAAAACCATACCCATGTTAGTGGAGCTCTTTGGGAGAGAAACAGGTGATACGACTTTTCGTCAGAATTTGCTAAATTGCTGGAGTGGATGCATTTTGCTGGTGGATGATTTCCTGGGCAGCGCTGATTTAAGTTGGGTAGGGCACGTTCTGGCCTTGCTAGGCTGGTTCAGATATTTGGTGGCTTGCCCGTAGTACTGCCTGGTATTGAACTGAGAGACCAGGTCCAAACCTGATGCTTGCTCTGCAGCATGGACCACTGGACAGCCAATTCACCTGTCCTGGGCAGATAGTGAGGCACACTGTAGACAGTGCAATCTATCGAGCTATTCTTGTCTATAAAGATTGTGGGATTTGAGTCAAAAGAGAATGCGGCCAGATTTCAAAATACCTAAATCCTTTACAAAATCAAGGAGGTAGAGCAGCCCTGGACACGGTTTTTGTCTGTCCTGACCAGCTGTCTCCTGGATGATTTCCATACACAGATCAAGCTTTTGCATGGGTCAGGAGCCACCCACAGTAGAATCATAGAACCGTAGAATCATAGAATCACAGAATCATGGAATGGTTTGTGTTGGAAGGGAGCTTCAAAGTTCATCTAGTCCAACCCCCCTGCAATGAGCAGGGGTATCTTCAACCAGACCATGTTGCTCAGAGCCCTGTCCAGCCTCACCTTGACTATTTCCAGGGACTGGGTAGGATCACTTTGGATCCTGGCACCGCAGTTTAGAGGCCAGGAAGAAGCAGCAGCACAGGCAAGGCAGAGACCGCTGGTCAGGGAACAAGCCCTGGAGATGCTGAGCTTGCTGGTGTAGGTGTGGTCATAGCAATCCTGGAAGCCTGCACAGATGCATGATCTGTCTGGACATAAAGAAGATAAAGTCTTACGTTAACCTTTTCTGAGCTTTGCTGAGAATCAGGATACATTTGTTCATGTCCAAAGCCAGTCTAAGTTGGGCAAGTTTCACCTAGACCCAAGGTTATAAGTCCACATGACCCTAGTGTGGATCCAAAGGATTACCATCCCAGGTCTTTGCACTGTGTGCCATTTGTGTGCTAGATTTTCCCCATTGCAGCAAGCTGTTTTATATAAGTAGCTACAGCAGCCCAGAAGTCTTCACTAAGGCATCATGTAGAAGTTTTATTCTACTGACCACTGGCTTAACACCCCCGTGTGGCAACAGGACATGAACAGAAACACTCAGGCATTTCACCAGCTGCCATCCTACTAGTACTAGACAAGACTAATTTGTGGATCACTGACTGTATTCCTGTAATAATTCAAGGAAATTGAATAGCAGAGCTCCTGAGTATTTGTACTTAAAAAAAAAATTCATTCATTTAAAAAGAAAAATCTATTGTATACCAATTCCCTAGAGGTTCTGCAGACAAATATATAGATTGACTGTGAATTAACACTAACAGGATCTGTAACTGATTTATAGTTCTATTTAGTCATAAACATTAGCATTAATGGATGTTCATGGAGTACAAGTGCTAAAGAACAGACACTAGAGATGGCCTATGTGTTATTTTTTTCTGTGCTGCATTTCTTCCATGACCCCATGAACCACAATTGATGTCTAATTCCTTGCTTTCTTAAGCATCTTTTGTTAGGCTCTGATGCAATGGTAACTTGAACAATAATTAGAGTATGAGGGACTCACAGAGCAAATGCCTCTTCAGTGTCTTGCCTAACCAGACAAAATTCAGTAAATGGCCCAATTATATTTCAGAGAGTTTCTGCAAAGAAGGTCTGTGGGGGTAGCTCTGCGATAAGGTGATTAGGACGGAGCATGTTCAGCTGGAAGTCACAGTTCATGTACAGTTCAGGTCAGCAGCAGGCAAACGGGGGCCCAGTCCCTGGCCTGACTTTCAGGGGAAGGAATCGTTTTGAGGCCAATAACAAGAAGCGGGATGGTTCCAGCTCAGCTTCACTGTGCTGTGTGATGTCAAGTTCACATCTGAGTCGTGGGCTGAAGGTATCTACCCCCTTCCACCAACGGCAGCAGGTGGTGATCTTGGCCATCTCTGACAAATGTCTGAAATGATGCTGGGATGCATCTAGGGCTCTGGGTTTTAATTTCTTTAGTTCTATGAAAAAAGCAGGAAAGGACATCTTTGCTTCACCTATAGTATGCCCTGCTGGCATAAACTGGCAGCTGTTTGGAAAGTGCAAATGCCCTTTACAGCATCTGGGATGCTCAGGGCTTTCACCCCTCACAGCTATTGTGATAGCAGTAGTTTTCGTACAACCCTGGGTGGGACCCATCCAGCCAGATACAAATGCCTTTTCTGTAGCCATCTGCATCTGCCGAATCATCTTTCCATCAACAGGGAGGAAAAAAGCGCTTCTGACATGTCATTCATTGAGGTTGTTTTGATCATCTGTATTAAAATGAGATAAATCCCTGTATGAGTGCTTATTGCTCCCCATTACAGAATCACAGCATGGCAGGGGTTGGAAGGGACCTCTAGGGATCATCTAGTCCAACTCCCTGCTGAAGCAGGATCACCCAGAGCAGGCTGCACAGGACCTTGTCCAGGCGGGTCTTGAATATCTCCAGAGAAGGAGACTCCACAACCTCCCTGAACAGCCTGTTCCAGGGCTCCGTCACCCTCAGAGGGAAGAAGTTCTTCCTTCTGTTCAGCTGGAACTTCCCAGGCTTCAGTTTGTGCCCATTGCCCCTTGCCCCTTGTCCTGTCGCTGGGCACCACTGAAAAGAGTCTGGCCCCATCCTCCTGACACCCACCCTTCAGATATTTATAAGAATTTCTAAGGTCCCCTCTCAGCCTTCTCTTCTCCAGGCTGAACAAGCCCAGCTCCCTCAGCCTCTCCTCGTAGGAGAGATGCTCCAGTCCCCTTATCATCCTCATAGCCCTGAACTAACTAAACTAACTAAAAGCAGTCTAAGATGTCTAGCTCACAGGGAGACGCATGGCTCCAAGGCAGGACCGTTGACTACATCTATGTCTCC